TTTATCGGCATTCCTTTCTGTAATATTGTGTCTGAGCAATGTCATTCGGATCACGCAGAGCTACCAAACAAATCAGTATACACTAATCTTTATTAAAAGAAAGGTTCCCGTGATTTACTAGTGGGCGCGAAACTGAAATGTTCACCAGATCAGTGCAGGCAAATTTTGTTGGGGAACTCACAACCGGAGCCTCCAGCTAACCAAAGCCTGACCTGCCGTACAGCGGGGCGATGTGTGAGAATCGCGTGCCACTGGCGGTCGATGTCCAGTTCATCGGATTATGCGCCCTTTGGATGGGTCAAGCGTCCAAGATGCCCAATACACCTTAATACTCAATCGAGTCGGTTACCACTATCACAACCAGGAAGGTGTTGGTTTGGTTGGATGTTTTTTGCGTCCTCTCACTTTTTTGGGAAAACACTGTTCCCCACGGAAAGTTATTGAGTAGGGCTTCTTCAGCGGTGACTACTCGAGACGCTTTGTCATATAGGCGCATTTCTCGAGATGGAATGGAAGAGTTAGCAGCCACAACTCAAGACGCCTAATTCCGACCATACTGATGTTTTCGGAAGCAATTGCCAGGAATGGACGACTGATGATAAACAATTGAACCGGAAATGGTTCGTTGTCAAGTGTTCACCAGGTTTTCATTTCGGTGCCAATCAGTGTCGTGGAACTCCTCAAAGAAGCCGTATTCTCATCTTCACATGAACCTAATGAGTCCGGTAGTATCACGTACTTAATTGCCGTTGACGTGTTTTCAAGGTGATCGGAAGCAATCCCGTTTAACTGTTCAGCGATGGCATCCAAAATGAGCGCTCTGTGATCCCTTTTCTCTTAACATGACCGACTGCGGGTAATCTCGTTGGAGACAGAAGACATATTGTACTGCTTGATCAGTTACATCTCACCAACGAGATGTCGAAAGGTATCTCACTTATGTCACCCTTTAGATTTGATCGAGGTGTGGTGTTTGCCGAGGCAAGTGGGGAGTAACAAACGAGTAAACGTGGTCAGAATAAGACCTGTTTTGAGGGTACGAAAACGCTGATTGGAGCTCTTGGTCACCTAAATCCCAACATACTTCCTGATTGGGGACCTGTTACGAGCCCAACCTGATTGTTCACATTTACTCATTTAGGCATGCACGTACAGAACACTTTGTAGTTGTGTTGAAACTTGAGCTAATCGAACCTGGAGAAAACGCAGCGCTGAAGAAAATCCTGTAATGCTTTCTTACCGCCCTACGCCAAGCCTAAAGGGGTTTCATCAATTGACCGATAATTTTGTACACTGTATTTCACTCTGCTTTTATTAAGTGCAATAACGATGCGCGCAAAACAGCCGATAGTTTCGCCCTTTGAATCGAGATCCGTATACGAGATTTTTGTTATAACCAAGCAAAATAGCCGTGACAAACTCCTACACGAGGAGTTATGGGTGACGACCTTTGGGTTCGGCCCCTCTCACTGAACCACGCCCCCTATATACGCCAGAGGGAATCGATGAACGCAGACACATCCGCTCAACTCCCTTTGGACGTATTGCTGGACACAGCTGCATAATTTGAATTGGATATCCAACACCTGATCGTGGATAAGCTGCCGCAACCATGACGATGGAATTGTATCAAGCGAAGATCAATATATCCTCTCACTCAGTTTTCTAACAAAAAAAATTAGAACTTGGTCGGTGTCTCGCAGACCAAATTTTTATTCAAAAAAAAGAATATTATCAACCTGATTTTTAGAATTCCCATTTCACTCCAAAGGCTCTCAGATTGTTCCTTGTCCTTACTCGTTTCCTACTGGCCTAAAGCTCGTGAATCTGGCCGTTTTAAACCTACCTATAAGGTCATCCATATCTGCCATTGAATCTGAATATAAATGAGTGAATTGCTAATACGAATTACCCTTTGGTCTAGTGAAATGTTTACATCTGCCCAACGGACTGTTATTGCTCTTTGAATTCGGTTCTCCCACATTGCTGGTGTTAGATTGCAATGTTTGACATTGGTCGCACACGGATTGCAGCACATCTGTATTTGTCCAAATCGTGGTCAACAGTTCGTTTCGATTTCTTCATTCACCGCCTGTTCATCACTATTCAGTTGATAAAATCCGTCGATTTTCATCGTTCCTGTCGCACAACCAGCATTTCGATTCAGGATGTTTCCTCTTCAAACAGATGATCCGTGATAATGGATAGATACAATTTTCCGGGAAGGTGGAAGCGGTCAATCAAAGAGCTATCATTTAACACATAATGGTGAAAGTCAGGCGGCTTTGGTGGTGGAGGGATTCGAACACATCTCCGGGGTGATAATTTGGTGATGTTACCACAGCCGAAAAGGGAACGGCCTCAACACCCGGTATTACCAGCCGGTCACTCATAAAAGTACCAACTGGGCCCGACGTTACTTAACTTCGGTGATCAGACAAGAACCGTGTTTCCAACGTGGTATGGTCGCGGCCATACAGATACGTCATAATAATAGGTGGATGTTGTTAAACCGGGTCATCAAACGCCCTTAGTTCCCCGGGATTTTAATCTCCCTCTCCCATTGATCTTATTATCTGAGTATTTTGTTGGCGATTTGTCGCTTTTTTACATCTCGGAAAGATCTCGCTTTGGTTAGTTTTCTTCACTTTGTTCTCTGGAAAACGTCACGTGCTTTGGAAGGTTATTTTTCATCATTTCTCCTCTTTTTCGATCATGTACTCACCTTCACTCATTGTCCACGTTTGACGTGACAACGAACAGGATTGGTGTCAGTCAAATTCCCGACCACGTGACGTGTCCTACTCCTCCTCCTCGTTCTCACCGAACCATCCCAGATCACTACAACAACAAGATACCGCCACGTGGTAAGTTTGACACTCCCGATATACTGTCAGCTGGGTGACTCAATCCATCCATAAATTACTGCATTCTGAGATTGATCCCATTGCATCTCACTGATCCGTTTTATTTTTTTTCTCACGTTGTTCAACATTCCCATAGAACGTAAATCACACGATCGTGCATATTGATTGTCTGGTTATCCTTCCTATTCATCCGTCTCATTGTGTGACCCGAAATTCTCACGGTGAGGTTAACTATACAGGGATACAATTTATTCATGTATCGGTTCATTTGCCGGTGAAATATAAATCTATCGCTTCACTTCAGTTTGTACAACCAACAACCATGCACCCTCATGCGGCGGTTTTGTTCGCTGTCTTTTGAATACCCGTTTGGATGAAGAATAGGAGAAAATAAAGTCCAATAGAAAATGGAGAATTTCAGTGGTCTAAGGTTTCAAAGAAATTGAGAAGATGCACGAACGCCACTGTTTACGACACTCAGCCACACCACTCAGTGTCTTTAACCATCGGTTAGGATCATCCCGAGGTCCCCAGCCAGGAAGCCTGACGGGACCAATGTTACCCAGTCCCCTAGTTAGGGATTTCATACCCTCATGCCAGGTCTTACATCGACCACCCTTGGCTTTTTTCCACCCTATACTTGTCTTGGTAATCATTCATGCTAAGCTACGGATGGATATGATTGAGGTGTGATCGGCTTCTGATTGATGTGAAGATAGTTTTGTGGTATTCATCTTCGGATCGACGGTCATCCCTTCCCGTACATTACGTCCGTTACCAAACGCACAATCCCTGGATATTTTCTGCTCATGGCGTTACCACCAGTTCCCGTTACCGGCTTAGATTGTTCGATGGTCGTTCAAAGTAGGGCGCAATACGCAGTCCATTGAGTAGGTTTACGGACTCTCGAATGGGCTCTTTACTAAGTGCACCTATGTGCACTCTAATATGTATACCTCGGGAATCCTGAGGGTACGTGGAATGCTCCCGAGTAGCTGTCTATTGCCTACATAAAATTCAATGAGAAAGTCAGTGACGTAGATAATCTTGATCTGGTTGACACAATCCACCATTTCAGGGGCCTCGAATGAATGTGCACTGCTGATGAGCTCGGAAAAGATCGAAACTGTAACTGAGTGCTTCCTGAGTTTATGGTTGATTGAGTGAATTCAGGATTGATTCTACGTGAAGGTGAAGTATAAATATATCCAGTTCAAACCAGTCATGTGTTCCACGTCACTACTCACAAGTAAATGTGATTTAAACGTGAAACATTCTAATATAGCTATTACTGCAGTGTGAGCATACTGTTTCCACAAACTTCACTGCAAATTGAAATGGTTTGCCGTGATTCGTTATGAATACTTTGTGGAACCATATTTGTGTGTGTGTGTGTGTGTGTGTGACAGAGCTTTGCTGTGGATCACCTTCGGTAGATCAACCTGTCTTCCAACCTCACTGACATGACGGCGGATGGTCTATTCACTCCGCTGATTTGGGTTATGCTTTCAATAGTCTGTGCTCACGTGCGCAACTGGAGATGAACACGTGCAGTCACGTACACCATCATGTACGTTTTACCGGAGTTGTTTACTACGAACAGCTTGAATGCACTTGTGGATGTAGATTCGATTGATCATTCAGTGTCCCTTAAAGGCGTGTCCACTTCCTGGCTTTGGGGCGTAACAGATGTTTGTTGTCCTGGTCAACTGCTCACTTTAATTGAGAGTTAAACAATTAGCTGCCGCAAGGTCCACACCTGCCCATATCTGTAGTTATCTTTAAAGTTAATCATACGAGATCCATGAATGGAATGGATCTTACTGAAAAACTTGGGCGTCGTGCTCGTGATTATTGAGGAAATTAGATTGTCCTAGCCACGACGAATGAAAAACCAAAACACAAGGCGTTGGTGACAACGTTTTGACCCTCTTGGAAGGCCTTCTTCAAGTCGTCTAATCAGTTGATCTCACATTACAAGCAATTATAAGGCGATGGGATGATGGCATCGTATAGAACTCGGATGTTATTCGAACATGCATGTGTCTGTTGGTGAGCGTTCAACAGGTAGGCGAGTGAAATTGGTTTGACCTTTAGGTCAAAACGTGTGAATTGGTCACTTGGCATTTGGAGTGGGGGCGAGACTATTTTGTATGCACAAGTGTTAATTGTTGCAATTACTGTGGAATGACTACCCCATCAGATCGATTGATTGCCGTAGGTTCAGCGTTGATCAGGAGCGCTTCGGCTACCAAACGTTCCTTGTGACTTCTGAAGCCACGCTTTAGAATGTGCGGGCTTTTGAAATCAACTGATTGCTTGCAACGTGAGAGTAACCGACTAAACGACTTGAAGAAGGCCTTCCAAGAGGGTCGAAACGTTATCACCAACGCCTTGTGTTTCGATTTTTCAATCGTCGTGGCTAAGACAGTCTAATTTACTCAATATCTTTAGAGTTGTTTTTATTTTTTCATTAAGTGAATGCTGGACCGAGGACAAGGCCAAAGGAGACGAAACGGACATAATCTTCGTGGACTTCAGCAAGGCCTTCGACAAGGTGCCGCATGACCTTGTGCGAAAGCTGTCCAACCTAGGTGTAGGTGTGGTAATGCGGAATTGGCTGCGAGACTTCCTCATCGATCGGAAATTCTGCGTACGTGTTGGCAAATCGCTGTCTGTGTGGTATTCCGCTCCCAGTGGGGTCCGCCAAGGCTCGGTTCTTGGTCCATTGCTCTTTGCGGTTTATGTGAACGACCTGCCTGGTCAACTGTGCAGCCCATCCCTCATGTATGCAGATGACATCAAAATCTGGCGTACCATCAAGGATCCGAATGATCGAAGTTTTGTTCAAGCGGATTTGAACAACTTTGCTCAGTGGGCGGACACCTGGGCTTTTCCAGTCAACACAGCAAAGTGTGCTCACCTGCATTTGGGGCGTGCTGACTCAGCGGTAGTCTACAACCCAGGGAACCACCTTGCGCAGAACATCTTGCGAACGAGACCTGGGTGTTATGATTACGTCATCACTAAAGACCCGAGAAAACACCGACCGGGTCTGTGTTAGCGTATGGAGCATTCTGGGACCTATTCGGCGGTCTTTCAACCAGCTCACGATAGACGCTTTCAGGCTGCTGTACGCTTCCCATGTCAGACTAAGACTTGAGTACGGTGGTGCGGCGAAATACCCCTGCACGGTCGGTGAACTGGCTAAGTTGGAGCGTGTACAACGTGCTGCTACTAGACACTAGACTACGCGGGACTAGCTATGAAGGTTGTCTACAGGCTACTGGTCTGTTCCCAATTGCGTATCGACGCCTCAGGGGAGATCTCATCTGACTGAGGAAGATCCTGGGAGGTGATATGGGCCCGGAACTGCAACAGTACTTCCCTTTACGGACAGAGCACCTCACGCGGGGGCACCCTCTCATGTTGCGGAAACTTTAATCAGTTGGTCTTCCGTTAGTCTACCGACTCTCGCGTAGGTCAACAACACTCTGGAATTCCCTTCCAGCGATTGCGGTGGAAGAGAAGACAGACGCTGCTTTCAAACGGCGTCTGGATGAGCACCTGAAGGGGCTATGGAGGAACGAACACTTGTGATCGGACCTTCGACCNCTTCGACCTAGTGGTGATGGGGCTTACACGGGCACCCTGCACTCAATCTTGAAGACTGAAGTGATGTGGTACACCTTGTTATGTAATACACTGACTGTTATACTTTCTTAAACAGATTGTAGACTTTATCAAAAACTGATGGCAGATGGCCGAGATCAAATGATCTCCAATTCGGTTGAGAAGGCCCTCCTTCAACGTAACATGGTCTAGGGATACTGAGCGTTTTCTCCCCTGTGGCGTACACCGCATATAATTGCGACAGAACAGGTACATTGGTCGCGATTCGAAATCTGCAAGTTGCCGCGATGCGGTAGATTCTACCTCTCTTGTGCGGTATACTCAGTCAAATGTCTGATGGCTTGTGCGTACCGTGACCTCAAAACATGTGAACACGTTGAGAACCTTGGGCATCTCGCTCATCCACCATACTAGCAAATCCGAGTACGGACAACTGGAGTCGCCAGCTATCCAACGGAACCAAGTACGCGCCCTATCTAACCGTTGATAGTTGAATGTACTATAGTCGAGTTAAGCGTTTTCCATTAAGCCTTCCACATGTGTTATGCTTCTGCGCTTATGCTTCAATTCAGTTCAGTTCAGTTTGTGCAACCACTAACCATGTACTATCGTCCGCCGGTTTCGGTTGCTATCAAAGGATCAGAGAGAAAATTGAAAAGTTCAGTGGACTAATGATACATCATCCAAACTCCACAAACGCACTGGTCAACTAGGTCACGTAAGAATGACAAATGGTACTGATCCTTGAAATAGCCAATCGGGATTCGGTTCATTTTGCGATCTGACTCGAACAGTCAACCAGACGCATTTCATTCCTCAGCATGTCGCCACATGGTCCTCACACAGTGTCGTTCTTCACACACCTTTAAATCCAGACTGTGTGCCCAACAAATCATAGTACAGTAATCTTCATAAAAAGAGACAGTTTGTATGCGAAATACTACCAGGTTTCTCAGGTCATGGTCGATGAATTTTCTTGAGGAATCCGCAACTGAATTTGTGATTGATACGGGAAAACCCAAAACGTATTATTGATTAAGAAATTCTTGACGACCGACGTACACTGATACTCACTAGAGTGTAACGAAATTATGCAGGTGATCTGTCATTACCCTTTCTTGGTGCATGCTGATTCGAGAGAGAGAGAGAGAGAGTAGTTTCACTTTTATTATTCAGAATGGTCTTCTCGAACATTTTGTTTCACTGATCCTGCGCAACAGGTATCTCATCATCTGTTTTGGTAACATCAGTCCTGTTTCAATCGGCTGATAGTTGCACTATCTAGAGATAAAAGCGGAGTTATTTTTTCTTTCTAATTTTTGATAGGTAAAAATTCATCCGTTGCTCCATTGAATAATATTGTTTTAGTATAAGTTAGGGTAAGACGATTACTGTGGCCTTCACTGCTGCAACCCAAACAGACCGCATCGTCCAATCGGTTCGATTGTTTATCCGTTTCGTTTTCCCTCGCTCCCCCCTCCACCAGCTCTCCAGTGATATCAAATATATCACCGCACTGTAAGCCAGTTCTGTTTCAATC